TGAGGACCCCCATTCCAGGGCTCTTTCACAAAATCTCAGCTCCTCCATTTGGTGTATATATGCACTGATGAGAAAATGATGGTCAGGAATAAATTTAGGGGAGAAAAGAAGATAAAAACTCAGTCTTCCTTGGGGAGTCTCTACAGATTTTATAGATCACCTTGATGCCCAATTTGTTCTACGTTACCATTCGGTTTGCTCAGCTGCGAAACTGATGAGAACGTTGGGTTGGCTAACTTATCTGTCCGTGTGTTTTAACAGCATGTATGTAACTGCAGACTCTGTTCCTTTTCACTGAAGTCCTCATTTTATTAGTATCATCAGTGGTAAGTGCGGGTGAGACGTACAGTGTTTGAGATCAGGGACATCGGAGATAAATAAAGTGCGATTACTGGTTCTGCCAATTTTGAGACGTGTAACCTTAAGCGATTAACTTAGCCTTTCCAAACTCTGTTTCTTCAACGTAAACTGGGGATGATCACGGTACCGCTTCATGGGACCATTGTGAGAATTCAGTGAAATAACAGCACAATGCCTGGTACATCACATAGTTAAGAAAAAAGCTTCCATCTTTTTCTAAAATAAACATTTTATTTAAAAATATACATATATTTTTTTAAAAAGAACACATGCCAACTTTGGTATTTAGCCATTGCTTCTTTTCTCTTCCTGGTCACCCACATTTCTTTCTAGTTACGTATCGTTGAGCAAAGGAGGCCGACGTGAAAACTCCACCACGCAGGGTCCCTGCAGAGAACGTATGCTGGCTCTTCTGACTTCTTCACAATGTGTCTCTTGGTGTTCCGCCAAGGGAGGATTTCAAGTACCCAGCCACACACTGCCCTCCTTCCCCACTGCGGGCGCACTGGAGAGAACTCTGGGCAGCAGTGTGGATTCCCTTCCTTTGGAAAACATTAGAACAGCCTCCAGGATCCTCATCCTTATCCCCCCTTTTCCCATAAACCCCCGGGAGCTGTTAAAACATGTACAGGAAACTCACATGACCAGTGTCCATGAGGCTGGAGGTGATTCAAATAAGCACAAGAGACAATCAGGCATTGGCCTTAATCCACAGAATTCTAGAAGCCTAGAATCCACCGACTCCTACAGTCAGGAGGGAACTTATTCATATGTTATCAAACTCAATGAATCCTATTACAATTTCCCTGCAAGATGATAGAGACATTTTTCTCAGACCTCTTGCTGTCTTAAAATCATCTCCTAATATGCAGTCCCAGCCTAGACAGGGTTGCTCTGAAAATGTGGATTCCAGAATCGAACCCAGCTTCTCACCACACTGAGCGGCTCTCAGACTTACAGGACCGTCTTGTTCTAGGACCCGGACTCTGTGTGTCTAGTGATATCATCTAATAAAGCATTAGCAGTTTCAGCATCTGAACCGCCCTGTTGGTTTCTACTGGATTTATAGGAAAATGAACACTCCAGACTCTTTTAATCCGAGTTCTCTCATAGCTGATAGCAAACTGTGTGCATCTGTGGACTTCCCCTGTGAGCACCACAGCCAAGCCCTGAAGGGGGACCACGCTGCCCTCGCAACCCTGCAGCTTTTCTCCTAAAAGATGGAGACTCCCCGTGGACACCCCCCACCCTTAAGTGTCCCTTTGGTCCGGAGAGCTCGTTCTGAAGATCAAGATTAGGGGGTGAGGCCAAAAAAAAGTTTCCTTTACCCTTCCCTGATTTTCAAGAGGCTTCTGTATCTGGCAATGAAAACAAACCCTACAGCTCTCATAGATGATTTAAGTGGTGCAAGTAAGGAAAGATGTCTAAGTGACACATTGAGGCTGTTTGAGAAGAAAAAAAAAATGTTAGCATGGGCGCAGCTTTTCCCTAAAAAGGGGCCCTCCCCTCCACCTTCCGGGAAAACGCAGATCCCTTTGTCACCATAGGTAAAGGGTTTCTGCTTGGAGGACTGAGAGATTCCCAGTGTTCTTGCAACTCCCCAATCACTCAAAATCTGAACCATCTGTGCAGAGTCTATGTGGTGCTGTCCATTTGGGGGTTTGCGTGCTTTGCACAGGTGAGACATCGAGTACTTAGCCACTGGATGAGTAAATTGGATGTGGGAGTTTTCGGCTAGGCCAGCATTGGTTTCTAGAAGAGCTGATGGTGTCTGAACATTTTTGGAAAAGGACTGTCTTGAATGCTTGGGGTAGGTTTTTGATTATTTTTTTCAGATTGGAAATAAATGTTTCTGAATGGCAAAGGCCACCAGTTCACAGACCCTTGACTATTTAGGTGAAGACCCTCCTGCTTTCCTCATTTATCAGTGCAATCATTTCATGGGAGAGAATCATTTCTCATCCAAAATTTTGCAATTTGCTTTTCATAACGCAGAGTCTTAGTTGAACTGAGAGATTAGGACCTTCCCTTCCTTTCCGTTCCTTTCCTTTCCTTTCCTTCCTTCTTTCTCCCTCCCTCCCTTCCTTCTTTCCTTCCTTCCTTCCTTCAACTTCCTTCCTTCTTTCTTTCCTCCCCCCCCCCCGCTTTATAGTAGAGTGTGTGTCATCTCAATAACGCTGTTAGAAGCAGAGCTTCTAATGAGCACTGGCTTAATGAAATCATTTGCACAAAGCAATTTCCTGACTCCACTGGATAAGCGTGAACCTACTGCACGAGCGTTGGGAAAAGCTGCAAATGTCTGCAGGTCTGCTTTACCACGGGGGGTCCCAGGGGTCTTAAGAGAACTACATGTGGCTAGTTTCAAGCTAACCTTGACCCTGGCCATCTTCCTAAGTCTCTGTACATCTTTTAGTCATGCTCAATTTGTCACCAGAAAAGGAGACACAACTAAGAGTTTAAAAGAACTTAAAAAAAAAAATCCTCAACCTCCTCCCAATTATCCTCAGTTTTATCTTGCAAATATCATATCTGATCTACGAAGAGACAGTGAATATGGCGGGTGAAGACTGTGGGAGGAGGTTAAAAACAATCCAGGAGTCTGCTCTGGGTTGTGTGTTGGTCTGTAGTAGCGAATGTCTTCACTGTGAGGCGTCTATGTCAGTGCCTGATCATATCCTAAAAACATCCCAATGAAAATGCAGTCTTACAAAGACAGGGGCCTCCTAACCAAGTCTAGCACTTCAGACAGAAATACCCAAAGGAAAAAATAATTGACACTCAGACCAGAGTCTCAGAGATTGCTGTGCGATTGTTTTCCAAAGGAAGGGGGACAAAAATAACATTAAAAAAAATCACACAACGTGGCATAGGAGAAATGGACGGACCAGTGAGCTTTATCAAGATCTGAATACAACTTCGACGTCTGAGGAACACACAAACGTGAGGAATGTGTCACGAAGGTTTTCTTCTCCATAGCTTCATTGTCAAAGAAGAGACTGGCAATCTTCCCCTCTGGATGTTTGGTTCTGATAAAAGCAAAGTGTACCGTGTGGCTCTTTTAAAGCACAACGCAGATGGAGGAATGTAAAACAACTGTCATCTTCCACTGGTGCTCTCCCGTGAGAGACGGCAGTACGCTTTCCAGCGACCAACGGTGATGCTCTTCCGTCTTTTCACATCACAGTCAAGACGCGCTTGTTCATGGTAAGCAGGTGGCTGTGAGTCACTGGGTTGGAGCCATGAGTCATAAACAGAGAGGCAACGTGTAATCTGGGTGATTAATCAGGAACTCGCAGTGAGAAACGGCAAGATCATTTCACAGCAGATGGAGGCTTAAAGGCTTTTGGTATAGAACTCTAACACTGCCTTGAAGATACACACACATACACATATGTGTATGTATATGTACATATGTATGTGTATATATGGATACATATAGACACACATACATATACATATGTATATATCTATACACACATGCATGTGTGTGTGTGTGTGTGTGTGTGTGTATAACCCTCTCCTTCCCTCCTCACCCCCCAATAAGAGCTGGCAGCTTTCAGAGTAGCAGTCACCAAAAACACTCTGTGTTCACACACGTTTACAAGTTAACAATGGAATGACTTCTAAATCTTTGGGTTTTTTTCAAAAAGAGAACTTCTAAAATCACAACATGTTTGGTTATTTTCTCCATAAGTGCACAGTGAACAATTTTTTTTTTTTTTTTACAAACGAAGAAAACAGTGCCTTAGTGATTTCAATAAAAAATAAAAACAGCGATAGCTACTTTCTACAGCATGCAACACTACGAAACGGTGAGCTGGAACCACAGTGAGCCTTAGGGAGACGATCCTGCAAGTTAAGTTTTTCAGTTCCCAGCGAAAGCACAAGAGGTAATGAGGAATGCACACGAGACCGTCGTCTTTTCTCCTTCCATCCTTTTCAACGTGCAATTGTGTTTTCTTTCAGAAACCCAGACCTGAAATACTCTCTCCTTGTAACTATGATTCGTATTTATCTTTACTATATAATGATTTCCGATTTCCCCAGAGCAACCCAAATCAGGGATTGCTATTAATCAAATGAGGGTAGAGACAGCTTTGTGACTAATGGGCCAAGTCATTGGTTTCTTCCTGAGGGCATTCTTTTGACTTCCTTTTGTAGCAGATTATGCATACGGAGAATGAGTTCTCCAGGAGAACCTCGATTTTTTAGCTTTTTAACATATGGCTTTATTAGGGGTATGACAGCTGGTTAGAAGGCAGAAGTTCTCTTCTCCCGATGGTGGGGCAGAAAAGGAAAGATCTCCAACAGAGGAGCAAGAAAGGACTGATATCTTGAAAGAAAAGCAGAGCGGGAGAAAGGTAAACAGAGGTGGACCACCTCCCACCAATAAGAAAACAAGAAAAGCAGCCTGACTTCTATAATCGTCCTGTTATAGTAACCCACGGTATTTATTTCCAGGACACGTGAAACGATGTTCTCTAGTCCTGTCTGAATGATCTCTGATACGGCTTCCTGAGGCTAGGGAGGTCCTTCTGCTCTGCCTACATGGTCCTCTCTAGTCTTCGACACTAAAGGGGGTTGTGCTGGAGAAGTGGGATAGAATTGGGGCCACCGCAACGGGGCAGCTTTGCGGCTGAGGGACGCTGAGTTCACTTCACTCCCCTGGGAATGGATTGGTCCTGTCCCTCTGTTCTGCCTTAAGAACCTGACACTGGGCCTGACTTCTATTTTGAAAGCCAGGTGACGGAGAGACAGGAAGCAGCTTCCATCATGGGTGCGTCCTCCATCACCTCTGATGGACTGGCTTCCCTGTGCTCCCTAGAGAGCTTACATCTTCTTTCCACGGTATGTGTAATAAATTCATGAGAAAAGCTTACAAAGTGAGATTATGCCCCAACGATGCCTGAGAAAAAGTACGGGCTAGAAAAAAGACTGGTGTTTGAAAAGGCAGTGGAAGAATTTTTTTTTTTTTTTTTTGGCATTCTTGGTCTGAAAAAGCATATTTTTGAGTGCACTGCTGAAATCATGAACCGTCACTGAAGGCTGGTAAATATTACATTATCTATCTATATAGAAAAGACTCCGATTTGCTCTTGTTCGTTGTCACAGAAGTCTCCATTGCTTCTTTTTAACTCTCTCCGGCTTCTCCTTCCCCTCCTCCACCCCCCTCCTCCTTCTTTTGGATAATGTAAGTATTTACGGTTGTGTGCTCTCCCCCACCGGGTTCCTACTGGTCTTCCGTAGCACGCTGCGTCAGGCATCTACCACTGCTGTAAGTGGAGGTCCATGGGGGAATTCAAATTGAGATCCGTGACATCCAGGAAATCGATGTTGAAGATGCTGGGGCCGCCGGTGGAGAGGGAGCTGAAGCTCGGGGTGGAGCTGGGTGGCGTGATGTCCAGCCACTCCATACTTTCCCAAGGAGATTCCGTGAAGCTTAAGGGCAGCCCACTGCTGTCCACGGAAGAGGGTGAATACTGAGTCTGCATGGGGGAGAGGGGGCCCGGCAGGATCTCGTGCGCGTTGAAGAGGTCTTCCGCAGCCTTCCCGGAGAATCCATCCATCATCCCATCGAAAGGGGGTTCCTCGCTCCCGATTTTCAGAAGGGCGACGTCGCCCACCTTCCCCAAGGGGCTCTGGGAATTTAATAAGACTTCAAGGTGCTCGTTGCTGTCGGCGCCGTAGTGATCGAAGGAGAGCTGGCCTCCTGCAGAGGCTGGTTGAAAGGAAGCCGGGGGCTTGGCGGGGAGGGCAGCAGTGGGGCTTCGAGAAGACCCAGGTATCTTTGGGACTTTTTGAAGACATGAATGGTCCTCTCTGGCGTCAGCTGGCATTTCTGTTGGTAAAACACAATGGGAATTGTTCAAGCACTTCCGCTCGAGCATGACACGTGCATGAATCTCTGGAATGAATGACTTACGTGTAGACACAGGAGATGGCCATGCTTCTCGGGTCACTGCTCATCACCCAGTCTGATCCCCAAACTGCTCTGTATATCCTCAGTTCTTCCCTTGGGTCTCTACCCAAACCCTCTCCTGCTGGAAATTCCACTCTGTGATTATTGATTGCTCAAAGCAGGTTCTTTTACCTGCTTCTTCACTGACACCTGGCTGTCCCCTGAGGACACTACATCCTCCGTTACACCCTCACTGGGGGTTCCTTTGCTGCAGAGCCAGAAGATGGGTCATCAGGTCCTTTCCCATTGCCACGTTCTGATTGTCACTCCCCCTCATTCTTATTAGCTCCTCAGTGGTTTTTTTCTTTTCTTTTCTTTTTTTTTTTTTTGCGGTACGCGGACCTCTCACTGTTGTGGCCTCTCCCGTTGCGCAGCGCAGGCTCCGGACGCGCAGGCTCAGCGGCCATGGCTCACGGGCCCAGCCGCTCCGCGGCATGTGGGATCTTCCGGGACCGGGGCACGAACCCGCATCCCCTGCATCGGCAGGCGCACTCCCAACCACTGCGCCACCAGGGAAGCCCTCCTCAGTGGATTCGAGGGTCATGCTGCTCTCCTTGGCCCCGCCCCCGCCCCCCAGTCTCCTGGCCCCTCCTCTTCATCCACTGAAAACTCTACTTCCGGTTCATTGTTTTCCTCCCACTTCAACTCTTGCCATCCTCTGTGCCTTCAGCATCCCCAGAAGTGACCCGTTGTCCAGCTGGCCTCTCCGTTCCTTGACACTCCATCCCTCCAACCCAGCTGATTCCGCCATTCCCATTCTGCCGGACACAGCCTGGACTTTGTTGTCCCCAAACACTGCATCCCCCTGAAAGCTCGATTTCGATCAATATTGCCAACTCTCTGTCCATCTCCTCCTATTCCTCTAGCTCCCCTCATAAGGACCCCACGACAACAACTTCTCAGCCAGCTGGGGTCACCCCAACCTACCAACTCTGCTGTTTTATCACCATCCATCAGCCCCTTCTGGTTTTTACTTCTTGTCCCGTCTATACTCCTGAGCCACCATTGTAATTACTCTCTCACAAATATCCTCGATCCCCTTGTCCTTTTCTCCCGTCACCATACTCCCTTGGCAAAAGCCCGCATCTGGATGAATCTTATCATCTGTTTTCTCTGAGCCTGCCCTGGATCGGCTGGACGTTCAAGAGCAAAATTACACAATGAAGCTGCCCGGTTTCTCTTTAACTTCATGATGTCAAGCCTACGAGGGGCACTTAATACTGCCTAGGGATCCTACTGTGTTTCTCCAGAAAACTCAATTCACTCGTGATCAATTCATCACTGTTCTTCTTTCCTGGAACCTCCCGTGCTCCCCTCTTGCACCCCGACTCTTTGCAGACCTTGCCAACATACGTCATTAAAAATATAAGGGTGTCTGATAGGAACCCACTCATCTTTCCATCACAAAACTTACAACGATACATACCCCTGTGTCCACCTTTTCCTTTTTCCCTCTTGTTACAATGGAAGAATTGCCTGTTTACTTGCTTTTTCCCCATCTCCCCTACCAGACCGCACACCCCCTAAAGGTGGAGACTTTGCCTGGTACAGTATTGAACCTAGTATGATGCCTGGCCACTTTTCTCCCTGAAACTTTAAATGTCGTTACTTAAGGGCTCAGATCTGGAGTCTTTTCTTTCTATGCACACGTTCTCCTTACATGATCCTACTCATTTGTGTGGTTTCAAATTGTAGGCACATACTATGTAATTTTTAAAAAAGAAATAAATGAATGACTTAAAAGGAGGCAAAAAGAACACACTGACCATTTTTTACTTGAATGCCATGTGAACATGAACGGGCCATCAGTGGGAGATTACCAATTAAATTTCATTTTGAGTAGGTAGTACAAAACTTGCCTTATCTGCTTTCTTCTTCTTATAATTAAGAAGAGGGGGACGTTGGGATTAGAACAGTAGGGACAAGTGGTGTAGCAGGAGAAAACATTTAGGGAAACACGGACTGAGCTGAAAGATGAAAACTGTTAAAACGACTGATGAAAATCTTTCTGAGGACAACGGGACAGAGGCAGTGAGGAATCATCATCTATGCCTTCTATTCACATTATCTCTGCTTCAAATGTGGACAGGAGGCTGAGAGGAAGTGACACTCAACCCTGAGACGACTTTTTGGTCCAGCTTACAATGAGCATCTGACCTTGATCCTAAGGTTTGCTCCCCAGAGTACATGCAGGTGCAGGGCATCCTGATGCCTTACCTCCACTTTCAATGAGGACATCCAGGAGTTCGTCCATCTGCTGACTCTGGGTCATTTGCTATTGCAAAGTAACCAAAGGAGAACAGAGAAGTTAAAAAATGGCAACCGCTTCTGTAGGAAATCATTAGAAGCAGCACAACAGGCTTTTGAAGTAGGTTTGGCTAGCGTTTGTTCTTTTTTAATTGTGGTAAAATACACACAACATAAAATTTACCATCTCAACCATTTCAGAGTGTGCAGTTCAAGTGCATTAAGCTCATTCACATTGTTGTGCCACCGTCACCACTGTCCAGCTCCAGAACTTTCTTCATCTTGCAAAACTGAAACTCTGTCCCCATTAAACACTAACTCTCCATTGCATCCTCCCCCAGCCCCTGGCACCCACCGTTCTATTTTCTGTCCCTCTGAATTTTTTTTTTTTTTGGTACACGGGCCTCTCACTGTTGTGGCCTCTCCCGCTGTGGAGCACAGGCTCCAGAAGCGCAGGCTCAGCGGCCATGGCTCATGGGCCCAGCCGCTCCGCGGCATGTGGGATCTTCCCGGACCGGGGCACGAACCCGTGTCCTCTGCATCGGCAGGCGGACTCTCAACCACTGTGCCACCAGGGAAGCCCTGTCCCTCTGAATTTGACAACTCTGAGTACCTCGGATAAGTGGATTGATACAGCATTTTTCCCTTTACAGCTAGATTATTTCACTTAGCATAATGTCTTCGAGGTGCATCCACACTGTATGTATCGTATGTCAGAGTCTCCTTCCTTGTGGATGCTGAGTAATATTCACTGCATGTACAGAATATGTATTTGGTTTATCCATACATCCATCAATGGTTTATGCATTCATCCATTCAACCAACTTAGGTTGCTTCCACCTTTTGGCCTTTGTGAATAATGCAGCTATGAATATGGGTGTCACTGACTAAAGGTTTTTGAACCATGTGTGATTAAAGCTCAGTATGAATTCTGGACAGGAAAACTACTGAATAAAACAATCTATTACAACAAAAGAAGGGGAAAAGGAGGCAGAATGCTCCCCAGCCCAGAGTTCTTCAGAGTGAATTCAGTTGTTTGAGAAGCTTCCATCCCAGGAGATGGGCACCTTAACACATATATAGTATGGCCATTTTTTTTATCACTTTGAAGTGACTTGGGTAGGACACAAAACAAGCCTCAACAAATTTAAGAGGACAGAAGTTAGTTCAAGCATCGCTTCTGATCACAATGGCATGAAACTAGAAATCAACCACAGAAAAAGAAAGAAGAAAAAAATGCTTACATGGAGACTAAACTACATGCTACTAAAAAAACCAGTGGGTCAGCAATGAAATCGAAGAGGACATTTAAAAATATCCAGAGACAATTGACAGTGAAAACACAACCGTACAAAACCTATGGGATGCCGCAAAAGCAGTTCTTAGAGGGAAATTCATAGTGATACGTGCCTTCCTCAAAAAAACAAGAAAATTCTCAACTTACCACCTAAAAGAACTGGAAAAAGAACAAACAAAACCTAAAGTCAGCAGAAGGAAGGAAGAATTAAAGAACAATAGGAAAAAAATCAATAAAACCAAAGGCTGGTTCTTTGGAAGGGTAAACAAAATTGACAAACCTCTGGCCAGACTCACCAAGAAGAAAAGAGAGAGAACCCAAATAAACAAAATAAGAAATGAGGTGACTCAGCTCTGCCTCCCATTTGGTTGCTGAGGATGTGACCCAAGAACGTGGTTCACATTTCTCTGGTTCCTCATTGTGATAGCTTGTGGAATCTATCAATGTTTGTAGGGACTACACCTTCCCCTCTGGCTCATCTGAGTTGTGAAGCAGAGTCCGTTTATGGAAGTCCACTTTGCCTGGCCTTTTTTTTTTCTTTTGAAACCAAGAAGGATGTGTTGATGTTTACAGATACCAGGGGACAGGAATGGGGAGAACAGAGGCATAATTTGATCTCACTCTTCTGAGAGCTGGGTCCCAATAAACACAGGCATCAATGATCAACATGGGTGAGAGCACTGCTTAGAGAACGAATCATTTGCATTAAATGCCTACAAGGTCTGGCAGGTCATGTAAATAAGCCAAACACAGAGCAAGAGAGAGAGAGGGGTAGAGGCTAGAACACATGTTCTGATCCAAGGAGGCGACGATACTTTGTTTCAGGCAATGGTTGTCTGGCAGAGATGTGCCTCCGGGTTGCCAGTTCTCTGATTTTTTTTTCAGAAATGGGAAAGCCTACGTTTTGCATAAAATTTCCCGATATTTAAAACACTCTCTCTTCTAAATGAAATCTAACTGCAGGCTGACTTTGCTCTGCAGGATACCAGGGGGCAGCCACCGATGGAGATGGTATTTTCTGGGTTGAGCACACACGGAGGGCCACGTGATACTTTATCCACATTCAGGCCATTTGAAATATAAGATCACACATTGCTGGTTTTTTCTTTTTTTTTTTTACTTATTAGTTGAAAATTTTCCAAACATAAATGCAAGTGGAGGCTACAACAAACCTCCACGATTACCCAGCTTCTACAACCATTCATATTTTACTAGGATCACTGAATTTTGAAGCTAGGAAGAAACTTAGAAACGACTGGCCCAGCAATTCCTCTCGTATATTTGAGTACCTATCCCATGTCTGGACAATGTGATAAATGCTGCATCATCTGAAATCCTTATGCAGTAGATATCGTCCCCATTTTATGTAAGAGAAGTTGAATACTTGCCCAACGGTAGTGGGAGAGGCAGCTGGCACGAAGCCCAGGCATCTGGGCGTCCAGCCAACCTCTTGTCTCTCTGCCTCAGGCAGCATCTGTACACACACAACACATCCCCACAGTGAGCATCTAGACATTTTGCTCATTCCAGCAGGGAGGTGACAGACACGCTCAACAACAGAATCTCCACGCGTGAGGCCGCATCATGTAAAAACACGTCCACTGAGTCAGCCTACTCTTCCGTAAAGACCAGATCATGTGCTTACCTGCTTTACTGCATCTTCATAGGATGGAGGCTGGCTTATCTCTGAAACTGCTGAAGTTGACTTAGAAAAAGTTGGGGATGGAAGTGAAAACTTTGGCCCTGACTTATCAGAAGAGTGTAAACCAGCCATCTGGGTGAGTAAAACGCAGAGAAAGACAATCAATCCATGCGTCGGAAACGGTACAGCTTCTGTTTTAGAAACTACAGGCTAAATTCTGCAAACATTGACTTAAGGCAAAACAAAAGCTGGGGCTTAAATTTATGTTACATATATACCACAGATACATATTAACAATGGTACACATCACTATGGACTCAAAGCTGGAGGCGTCTCAGGATGGGAACCTCGAAAATTCATTTCCCCCCTCTAAGGTACACCCTGTCTGTTGGGAGAAAGTGAGATGAGAAAAGAAAATAAAGCAAAGGGTCCATCCAATCAGACATGAAGAGCTCCACCAACCCAGGAATTTCCAGAGTGATTTATCTCCCACCCCGTTTCATTCCTAAGTGGATGTATGTGCAGACAGTTGCAGGCAGGTGTTGCCAGGGTATCTCTTCATGAGCCAGCCTTGGGGATTGTGAGAGCATTCTGTGCAGTGTCCGGGACCTTTCAGGGTCTCTGTCCCCTCAGGATGCCCTGCCCTGGGGCCTGCAGCACTTTTGTGTCATGGCCGTCTCACGTTTGTCTCCTTTTTTTTTTTTTTTTTTTTTTTTTGCGGTACGTGGGCCTCTCACTGTTGTGGCCTCTCCCACCATGGAGCACAGGCTCCAGACGCGCAGGCCCAGCGGCCATGGCTCACGGGCCCAGCCGCTCCGCGGCATGTGAGATCTTCCCGTACCGGGGCACGAACCCGCGTCCCCTGCATCGGTAGGTGGACTCTCAACCACTGCGCCACCAGGGAAGCCCGTTTGTCTCCTTTTTACCATCTTCTCACTGCTCCTTGAATTCCCTGTGTCCCGCATCTTTTATATCCCCGATTGTCCCAACTGCTGACATGTATCCGCATCTTTTATATCCCCGATTGTCCCACCTGCTGACACGTAACATCTCTTCCCTTTTGCACCGTGATTCCAACTTTCTGCATCTCTCCAGTCCTTTCCGAGGACCCACTACTTCTTTCTCCACTTTTTTTTCCCATGAGCCCTGACTCCAATCTTGAACTTCACTGAACCAGGTCTGTTTGCCATGATGTTTCGCAAACATACCAAGGCCGTGTTAGTCGGCATGATTTCTGGGATGAACCCTGGAAACAGTGCCTTGGAATACCCTCACTTTTATCTGTACATCCATTTCTGTCCTTTTCACGTGGACTTGTTTCTATCCAAAATGTAATTTCTTTCTGCCTTTGAACCTCAACATTTAGAGAACAGGGGCCACAGAGAGAGAAGAGGCAAAGCCAACCCCCAGTTTAAACCTCTTCCCAGGTGCCTACCTTTTGCTGTACACCTGGGCTTTTGGGACAAGAGTTGCCCCCGGCACCATGACTGCTCTCTGCCTGGGCTCCAGAGAAAGAGGGGTGAAGGCTGGAAGGCTGGGGAGAGAAGCTTGAAGGATGGCCCTCACGTGCCCCTGAGTTCTGTAGAAAGGAAGAAGGACAAATTAAATGGCCACCAGCAGCATATTTGAGGGTAACCTTTGCTGAGACAACTAGTTCCTGCCCTGGTATCTCATCTTTCCAAACCTCCCTGAATTCCATAACCAAAGTCTCAGATCTGGCTTTGGATGTATCATTTCCTGTTCACAAACTTTCCATGGTTTCCACACATCTACATCGTAGGGTCTCCACATCTAACCAGGATAAGTCTTCAAGACACTCCACAGTCGAGTATGATTTCCCTCTGCGAGCTTAAATTCTACTAATCCCTCCGGGCCCTGGACATATTCCCTCCCTGTGTTTCTTCACATGGAATGATCTTTTCCCGACCCTCCTTCTCCAACTCCACTTCTCAAGTTCAACCCCTTTGCAAAGCCTTCCAGACTTTTCTAGCACTTCATGGTCAACACCCACTGCCATGCTCTGTGCGGCATTTAATGTCAAAAGTGCCCATCAGTGATGTTATCCTATATTGCTCTTTACCTTTTAATTTTTTTTTATTATGGAATCATTCATGTCTTTACAAAGAGTGCTTTGTAAACCATCAATGACTGTACAAATGGTAGTTCTTCTTGAGAGTATCCATATCCTTCAACTGAGCCCCTTCTGGTCCACAGCTGTATATTTCAAGAGCTATTTTTACCTTTGTTGCCTAGGCCATGAGGCGCTCAATACCTGTTGTCAATGAGGATGGTAATCCGTGTGAGTTTCAGCTCCTCCCAGAGTGCTGACTGAGGTCTGAGCACCATTCACGTGAATGTGTTGTTCTGGTGGGTTCATAAAAATGCATTCGCCTTACCTATGGCCACGCCTCATACTCCCAGGGTAGAGATTATTCAGTGGGAAAAGGGCATGCATTTTAGAGTCTGATAAACCTAGGTTCCTGCGACGCTGGGCAACTGGCTTCACCTCCCTGGGCCTTATTTTCCTCAATAGCAAAGAGTGATAAATTGGAACTCGTAAGGTTGTTGTGACAATGAATGAGATGACTCATGTACATGCCTCTTATTACCCGGTACACGGCAGGCATCCAATTAATGTAAGTGTTTTTCCTATTCCCTTTCTAATAACATGGATTCCAGAACCTTTTGATAACGTAACTGTCTTTCTCGAAGAGACTTTCCTAATAATTCTTTGTTTTCATGGATAAAAGGAAAGTCCTGGATGGTCACCTTGGTCTAGTCTTTGAACGGGTCACTGTTCTAAGCCATCCCTACTCTCCCTCTGCACCAAACACACTGGTTTCTTTCTGGTCCTTGAACATTCCACACGTGCTCCTACCACAGGGCCCTTGCACTTGCTGCTCCTTCTTCACCTGCAATGCCTTTGCCTCAAGTATTTACAAGGTTTTCTCCTTTACCTCCTTCAAATGTCCCGGGCTCTTCCCTTTAAAGTTGTAAACTTCCAAACTCCTAATCTCCCTTCTCTGCCTTTTTTCTGTAAAATGTATCATCTTCTAATGTGTTAAACACTTACTTATATCTTTTGTTTACTATCTGTCTCCCCATGAGAATAGGGATTTTGTTTGGCCAGCTCAGCACTAATCCCCAGAGACTAGAACAGAGCCTGGCACACCGTAGGTAAAGATCTGCACCGTGCAGACCATGACATGGCCATGGTAACTCCCTCTTTGGCCCTCTTGATGAGTTGGTTTGGCCTATGGTAAGGCTAGATACCAAGGGGTCCTGGGAACAGCCCCACGAGCCAAATCCAGCCCCTGGCTTGTTTTTGTAAATAAAGTTTCACTGGAACACAGCCACGTGCATTCGTTTACCAGTTGTCTATGGCTGCTTTCATGATCCAGGCGTAGGGCTGAGGAGCTGTGACAGAGACTGCACATCCCACAAAGCCAAAACCACTTATGACCTAGCCCTTTCCAGAACAAGCCACGCTAGTCTCGGAAGCGAGTTCGCTCTACTGTAAAGGCTTGTGCATCGTGGCGTCGGGCAGCTGCTACTGGGTTTGTGGCGAACCCTCCCCGTGAAAAGTTCCAACGTCAGCTCTGTAGCAGCTGCACGTCCACGTCCCGCTTCCAGGAAGACGGGTTCACCAGGCATGGGGCCAGGAGTTCTTACCTGTGCAGTACACACCTGGCTGCCGACAGGTGAGGAGACCCTGTGCTCTTCTCCTTGGGCGCCCGAAGATGCGGGTAGGAAGTAATGGTTGTTTGGCGAGGGGGGCAAACTGATGTGCTGCGGGCTTTTCACAGCCCCGAGGGGCGAATGCTGCGGGGAGCACTGCGGGCTGAGGAATGTGGAAGAAAGTACGCTGGTTTGACCCGAGGGCTCCGCACAGTGAGCGTTCCCGAGGGGCAGGAGCTGAGCATCTTCACGAGCCGGCGGCTGGCCCTCGGAGCAGGTGCTCTGTCTTTTCACAGCTATTTGCGGGGACGCGAACGGACAGCTGGAGGTGGCGTCTTCCTGCTTGATGGGGGCGGCCGGGAAAGGCAGCAGTTTCTTCTCGGGACAGTGGCTCCTCTTGTGCTTCTGCAGCTGCAGCCTCAGCTCCTCCACCTGCCTCTGTTCTTGCTGGAGTTTCCAGGTGAGCTCGTTGATCACCTTCTGCTTCTCCACCAGCATCTTGTCCTTCTCGGAGTCCAGTCCGTCCAGCTCGGGAGGGATGGAACCCCCATTGAGACTGCCCATGAGGCTTTCCTCGGGGCACGCGTGGACTGGGGACGGATGCAGGCCAAAGGACGGGGAGGCATCGTTGAAGGTGTCCGGCAGGGACCCCGCCACCGACAGGTCCGAAGAGGCAGGCGAGATTGGGGGGCTGGAGCTCGTGCTGCCAAAGTGGTAGAAGCCGTTGGACAAGGCGCCGGTGGACGGGGAGGACTGGTAATTGGGCAGCGCGTTGCTGGGTGTCACAGGAAAAGTGACAGTCGTCATGTCACCGAAGTTGGGCACAGGGTTCCCAGAACAGTCCTGGAAGGGCCGAAGCCGGTCCATGAGGGCCGTCTTGGTGCCGGACACCGGCAAACCTCGTATTCGAAGCTGCTGTCTTAACTCAGAGACCTAAAGAAACCAGGCCGTCGTTAGTGCTGCTTAATGACAATCTTTTAAAAATGTATTTTTTGTTACAGAAACTTTAAGACATCACGAACGGGATTTTATAATGTCCCCTTCCTTGTTTCCGATTTCCTCCCCTACACCAGATGTTCAACGGTTTTGCACAATTTTACTGATTTGAAAATATTGGCATACACCATGCTTTCACGGGTCCAGATTATAGAAATGTCCAGCTCAAATGAACCACGGCGGTTATCTGGTCTACTGCTCTCCAACCCCCATCTGGGTCCTTGTCCCCGCTTTACAGGTGAGAAAACTGATACCTGCCTGGGTTTGGACATCAACCCTCAACCCACAACATCAAAGCAGGCTGACGCCCCAGGACCTCTGCATCCTAGTTGAGTGCCCTGTCCACCACCTCTTTGCCACCACTGGCAAGAGCATTACAGCACAGCTGGGCCCCAGCCCGGGGTTCCTGATTCAGCAGGTCTGAGTGGGGGGCTGAGAATCTGGGTTTCTAGCAAGTTCCCAGAGGATGCAGATGCTACTGGTCTCAGGACCAGGTTCTCAGCCTTGCAGTTCTGCATCACCATCGATGTCCTAATTTTACTGACTGGCTTGGTAACAGTCATATACTGAGAGAAGTGTGTGCGGAGATGAGACCATCATTCAAATCCTGGCCCTGCCTCTTCCCAGCTCAGTGATCTTTCTGTAAAATGGGTCTGACAGTACCTCCCTTATACATTTTTGTGAGGATTAAAATGGCCTAAAATTTGTAAAGGGCTTGGAGTAGTGCCTCGCAAATTGTTAGTGCAGTGTGTTTGCTATTATTATTACGTTGATTCACATGGAATTATTTCAACCCTGCAATTTTATATAATATATATATATATATAAAATATAAAATTGCAGCGTTGAAATAATTCCATGTGTTCATAAATCACAGATATGTAAAAATATGATAGACATGATAGAACACTTTAGATCCATTAAAACTGATGCTATTTGTTGATATAGAATAATGAGTAATTATTTATGGTATATGATTAAGTGAGAAATGTTTGAATTGCTTGATTCTATTTCTGTAAGAATTATATAAACGTGTATGTGTGTATATGTGTGTGTGTGTGTATATATATATATATACTTAAACCTATGCTTGCAAGATGAAAATGTCTAGATAAAAATATGCTAAAATGTTAACAATCGTTCTCCTTATCTGTATTTCCAAAGTAGCCCACATCAGCATATTACTTTTGTCATTAAAATGGGAAATATATTAAATACCTAAATGTCAATAATTCCATAAAACAGCCAGAAATCTATAGGGAAATATTCTTCTGATACTTTGCAGGGAAAGATCTTTCAAGCCTCAAAGCAAAGAAAGTAATAATAAAAATATTGACCACGAAAATTGAAAACTATAAGTCAAAACTACTGGAAGAAAATGCAAATGCAAACAGTCATCTCATTAAAACAATAATTGCAGGGCAAGTAATAAAGTGTTCATAAGCTCAGTGTATCAAAAGAAAAAGACTGACACCCAGTATAAAGCTGGGTAATGGACATGATCCAATCCTTCACAAACAAAAGATAAAATTAAAAGAAAAATGGCCAATAACATATGTGCACCATCATTAGTGTTCCAAGAAATGCAAATAAAATAAGTATGTACCTGGCTTTGTATTCATCAAATCGACAAAGAAATGAATCATAACACTGTGTCAGTGAAGTAGCAGAAAAATAATTGAATAAAAATGTTAAGGAAAAAAAGCTTTTTAATACCTTGCTATTCCAAGTGTGGTCTTTGGACCAGCAGCATCAGACAGCATCTGGAGCTTACGGGAGAAATGCAGAATCTCAGGCCCCTCCCCACACCTATCAAATCAGAATCTGCATTTCACCACGAGCCCCAGGTGGTTCACTGGGCACATTCAGGCTTGAGAAGTGCTGCCCTAACACACTACCTCTGGGAATAGATTGGCACAAATGTTCAGGACAGGAATGGGGCCATATGGATCAAGAGTTCTTAAAAATAGTTATATATTTTGGTTTAGAAGTTCCACTCCCATGTATTTAGCCTGGGGAGATAATTAGAGAAATTAATAAATGTGTGTACAAATTTTATATATATATATATATTTTTTTTTTTGCGGTACGCGGGCCTCTCACTGTTGTGGCCTCTCCCGTTGCAGAGCACAGGCTCCAGACGCGCAGCCCCAGTGGCCATGGCTCATGGGCCCAGCCGCTCCGCGGCATGTGGGATCTTCCCGGACCAGGGCACGAACCCGTGTCCCCTGCATCGGCAGGAGGACTCTCAACCACTGCGCCACCAGGGAAGCCCACAAATTATATTTTTAATAGCAAAAATTTGGAAGCAAGTTAAAAGTCCAATAGAGGGATGTCAACGAGGTGGAGAAATGATATGCCAGTATTAAAAAGAAAAATCTTATTGAATATTAAACGTTATGAAAAAGTCCATGATAAATAAAATAAAAGAGCATGCCCGAAGTATATGCTCACATAATTATTTTAAAATAATTATTTTAAAACCAAACACGTTCATGCATATTTTAAGTCTAGAAGGATACAGAATCTGTGAGTTAATTGTCTTTTAAAATACTTGGGACTTCCCTGCTGGTCCAGTGGTTAAAACTGCGCCTTCCACTGCAGGGGGCGCAGGTTCGATCCCTGGCCGGGGAAATAAGATTCCACATGATGTGCAACCAAAAAAAAAATACTCTTCACTTTTTTATACGCTATCATATTTCAATAGTGAATATATATTACATTAAGAGTTATTTTAAAAGTTATCTCAAAAAGGATTTGAATAACTTACCGTACCACAAGCAATAAAATACGCTCTTGGCCCCCCAGCCTGGCTAGCATTGTTTTACCATTTTCTTTTAGATTTGCTGGTTTGAAAAAGTGCAAGATGGCAGCTCATTACTGTTTTAATTTAGAGTTACTTAAAATTAATGAGCTCTATGTTTATTTTTAGAATCTGCTCTGGCACTGAATAATTTAAACAACATTATTAAATACTGCGGCTCATATTCTAAAATAAAATGAATACTTGTTCAGTCCAGTTTGCTATAAATTTCAGAATATTATGCTGTGTAGGCTTGCCTGGGACAAAGATTTGTATAAACCTCTTTCTTACATTCCCTGGTGTTTTATTTTTTTAATTAATTAATTTTTTGGCTGTGTCATGCAGCATGTGGGATTCTAATTCCCCGACCAGGGATCGAACCCGCACTCCCTGCATTTGAAGCACAGAGTCTTAACCACTGGACCACCAGGGAAGTCCCTCCCTGGGGTTTTAATCGTTGATAAAACTTTAAACCATTTATTACGAAAAATTTCAAACATACACAAAAGTAAATAGAAAAGTGTAGCGAACCCACAAACCCATTAACCAGCTCTGACGATTATCAGCCCGCATTTGTTTCATTTATACGCCAATCTTGTTTGATTTACACCCCAAACTACTTCTTCCCCTACATTTCCTGAATTATGTGGAAGCAAGTTACACATTTTAATCTGTAAATATTTTGGTATCTTTGTCTAAAAAGTAAGTACTTAAAAAATATAGATATAAGATCATTATCACACCTAAAAAGATGAATAATTATTTCTTAATATCCATCAAATATTTTCCCAATTTTTTAAACTTCCCATTTACTTTCTCTCTCCTCCCCCGACCCCCCATGCTCTCTGGTTCTCTGACTCTCCAGTTTGTTAGAAGCAGGATACAAAAAAATCCATATACTGTCAAATTTCCACTTAGAACTTTTTAATGAGAAATCAAATTTTTTTCTCAGTGCCTTTCCCCTTTCACTTCTTTTTTTTTCTTTCTTTCTTTTTTTTTTTTGTGGTACGCGGACCTCTCACTGTTGTGGCCTCTCCTGTTGCGGAGCACAGGCTCCAGACGCGCAGGCTCAGCGGCCATGGCTCACGGGCCCAGCCGCTCCGCGGCATGTGGGATCTTCCCGGGCCGGGGCACGAACCCGTGTCCCCAGCATCGGCAGGCGGACTCTCAACCACTGCGCCACCAGGGAAGCCCTTCCCCTTTTACTTCTATGAAGCAAAACATAAGCATTTTTCTGGAAAACATCACCTTCATTGCCTTACCTTTCTGATTACTTTTTTTGAGGGTTACCTTCATTAAGTCCTCTGATTTCTTCCTTTCCCTAAATGTTTCCATCATTCACCTCCTTTATTCCTCTTCTCTCCTTCCTTTCCGCCTTCTCCATCCTTCCCTCCCACTCTTTCCATTTTGTTCTCCTTCTATCTCACTTGCTGCTCTACTTCCAACCCTCCCCACTATACAAACGATTCCAAGATTTCTGTTCCTATCCCTGACAGCACAGGTGAGCTGAGCGAGGCTAATATACGTCTAACTGATGGAAACTGCCTAGACTTTTTCTCTTGGTTGTCCTCCTGGTACTTGTGCTCAACTTTTCTAAACTGAATGAACTTGCCAACATACCTTGAAACCATCTCCTCAGTCTACCCTCCCAATTTCTGCTCCTGCTGTAACTCTCCCAGGTGACACCTCTCCCCATACACCCAGTAGTCAAGCCCAGTTCAGGTTTCTCCCGTCTACCCCCCGCCCCCTTTCCACTCTCAAGAATGACAATAGCAAAGCCTTTGATATCAGTCACTTGAGTTCAAGCCCCAGTTTTGTCACGTAGAAGCTGGTTAACTTGCATTTCACTTAACCTCTTTAAGATCCTGATTTATTATGTTTACATTTAAAACTTATCTTGTGGGGCAAAAATTAAACCAAATCTCAAAGTAAACAAAACTGATAAACTTTTAGCCAGACTCATCAAGAAAAAAAAGGGAGAGGGCTCAAATGAATAAAATTAGAAACGAAAAAGAAGTAAACAGTGGACACCACAGAAATACAAAGGATCCTAAGAGACTACTATGCCAATAAAATGGACAACCTGGAAGAAGTGGACACATTCTCAGAAAGGTACAATCTCCCAAGACTGAACCAGGAAGAAATAGACAATATGAACAGACCAATCACAAGTACTGAAATTGAAACTGTGATTTAAAAACTCCCAACAAACAAAAGACCAGGACCAGGTGGCTTCACAGGTGAATTCCATCAAACATTTAGAGACGAGTTAACCCCTCTCCTTCTGAAACTATGCCGAAAAATTGCAGAGGAAGGAACACTCCCAAACTCAATTCTAAAGCAAACCTCTGAAAGCTGGCCGACCGATGGTTTATACTCAAAAAATGGTAGTTCCCACTGTCACCACCACCATCTCCTTATACCTCTGTTAATTACTGTAACTATAACCAGCCAATGATTCTGCGCATGTGCACGCCAAGGAAACCACCTCTAGGGGCTCTGATAGGCACATCATAGCTGGACTATGTTTTCTTTGGGGCCAAGACATCTCCAGTCCTACGTGATATGAGCTCCCATCCAGAGATAGACTACTTAAAAAAAAAAAATCTTTGAAGAAGACATATGACATAAAAGTTACCATTTAATAATGTGTAAGGGTACAGTTCAGTGGCATTAAGTACATTCACGATGTTGTGCAAATATCACCACCACCCATCTCCAGAACTTTTTCATCATCTCAAATTGAACCTCTGTACTCATGAAACACTCACACTTTATTCCCCTCTCCCCTGGGAACCAACATTCTACTTTCTGCCTCTATGAATTTGAGGACTCCAGGGACCTCACAGAAGTGGATGCACACAATATTTGTCCCTTTGTGTCTGGTTTACTTCACTTAGCATAAAGTCTTCCAGGTGAGAGGAGCTACTTCTGTCTCTATGGATTGATGATCTGCGGGGGTGTGGAGGGTGAGGGGCCACCGCTCTGCAGAGCAACATCATACACCTGACGTCCTCCTCTAGGTTTACAGCTGCCAAACTGAAACAAACTCGACGAAACCTAAGCATTTTTATTCCAAGTGTAAGGAACAGAGAAACCTTTGATATCAAAGCCCAAGATACATTTTATCTACCAGTGTTGACATTTGGTGGCCACTGAACTTCCTCTAATTTGAAAGAGTCCCAAGCCTACTTTTCCCCCAAAGGAGAGAATGACTGAGGGCTGAGCATGGGAAGAAGGATGACCAAGGAGGACTGAGGGCTGGGGAAGGGCCATAGGACTGGCCCAGTGAGGACCACGGGGGCCTTTAGGAATTTAGTGTTTTGGGGGAAAAATGATAAGATCCTCTTGGGGAGAAGAGTAATCGGTGGGGTGGAAACTAGGTAAAGAGGTGCAATCATGGAGCTGCAGTAGGCATTAGAGGGAGGTGTGCCCACGCATTGGAGACCCGGAAGGGCCCTGCCTCCATCCTTTTCTGTCCTTTTGTAAACACCGGACAGACGAATCTGGCGATCCTGAGGACTGCTCTGAAACACACCAGGTTCAACTCAAAAGGCCAGCGTCCTTTCAGTGAACAGAGATCCATGAGTGTGATCCAGAGTCAACTGCTAGCGCACGTGTATCCCTTAACAAGCTGCTGCTACACTTCAGGGCAGAAGTTCTCAGAACTGGGGATTTCATAATAGAACAGCACCTGGTCTTAAATTGTATTATCGACATAGGGTTCCCAACGTTTTACCTCGTTGAGTAAGGACTATTCTCCGTATTTAATAGCATCCTGATGGAAGAAAAAGAAATAAAACACCAGAAACACTCAACTTCTATCCACTGCTGCCATCATTTCCCGATGGAAAGGACGTTTTGACATTCAAAACATTGTGGGGAAATAAATACTTCAGATAAAGACTGGTCAGATATATTGAACGCAGTTAGATTCATGAAAAGCTCTTGACGTGGCTCTTGTTTTTCTTACTTCAAGAGACTGGTAAAAGTTCATCGTGAAGTTGGCCATCGGAAACTTGTATCAATCTCAAAGCCGCCCTCTGCGCTAAGGGCTAGCACGTATACGATTCTATTTGACTCTTACAATGACTCATTGCAAAGGAGGAATGTGAGAGGCAGAAACATTAAGAGAAGAGCTGAGCTGGGAGCCCCCAGTCTTCTGTTCTATTGGGTATCCAACCACAGTGGTTAAAAATATATATATTTGTTAAAAGAAGAAAGAAAGAAAGAAAATCATGTCAAACCGTATACCTTCAGATCATCTAGGTTGGATGGGAGTGGGCCTGGCTTGAGAGAAGAGACACCAGTTTGTCCAGAAAAACTGTTTTTGGCAGGAGACAAAGGGGTATTGCTCAGCGGTGCTAAAGGAGGGTTTGGATTTCTGACCACCTGCTCATTTGGTTCCCTGAAAAACAAACAGAAAAGAGGCACTTAAAATATCATCAAATACAGTCAGCTATACATCTGGGGGTGCGATACTGTGATTTAGAATAGGAAATATATATTTGGTCTTCATCCTGGTTTCTGGCCTAGCTCCTAAAACCCTTGGGATTTCCTAAGTCATGAGAGCGCAGAGCTGTCTTTTGTTATCCTAATGAGGTGACTCTTGGAAGCCACCTAAGGATGGAGGGTGGTGGCCTGGAGAACCAATCATGTGATTAGAGGGTTGGAACTTTTAGTCTCGCTCCCGACCTCTGGGGAGGACAGAGGGCTGGAGGTTGAACTGATCGGCAATGGCCAATGATCTAATCAACCGTGCCTATGTAATGACGTCTCTATAAAAACCCAAAAGGATGGGGTTTGGAGAGCTTCCGGGTTGGGTAGCATGTGGAGATTTGGGGAGACTGGTGCACCTGGAGGAGCCATAGATGCTCTGCCTGCCTCCCATGTACCCTGCTCCAAGCGTCTCGTCCATCTGGCTGTTCCCATGGGGAGTTACATGCTTTTCCAATAAACCGGTTACCTAGTAAGTAAAATGTTTCTCTGAGTTCCCTGAGCCACTCTAGCAAATTAATCGAACCCAAGGAGGGGACTGTTGGAACCTCCCATCTGTAGCTGGTCTGTCAGAAGCACAGGTGACAACTTGGACTTGTGATTGGTGTCCGAAGGGGGAGGGGACAGTCTTGTGGGACTGAGCCCTCAACCTGCGGGATCTGACACGATCTCCGGGGAGAGAGCATCGGAATTGAGTTGAATTGTAGAACACCCAGCTGGTGTCAGAGAGTTGCTTGGCAGTGTGGGGAAAACTGGGTGACCAGAACCCTTAGGGGGTGGCTTGCAATTAGACTGGATCACAAGCTAATTGCCCAGAAGGATCAGGCGTGTAATAATAAATACATCAGCAATAATAATCAGTGCAACGTAATAATAAATCAGTAGAAGTGGCAGAGTGAGGAAGAACCAGAGTGGGCCAGATGGCAAGTGGCAAGCACCCCTCAAGCTAGTTTTGGGGAGACAAGAGGGAGTGGTGGAGACTGTGGCCACGGGAGAGGCCCGTCCATCTGTGATTTAGCAGATGCCCTGTCCTGGGGAGGAAGGAGCGTGCGCACGAAGCTTGATCGCGTACAGCACGTGGCACGATCACCAGCATGACCTGAGGCTGAACAGAGGCAGGTGGGGGAACCTACATCCCAACTTCATGGTTGAGGGGAAAGACCCTTTACAAGGTGACCTAACTGTGAGATCACACACTGGGCTCAGGAGTCAATCTTTGAGGCTGTCACCCAGTCACTCAGCCCTGAGCCAATTCCTAAAACGTAATCAGTATTGGATTAGCTCCCAATTCCAGCGTTACATTCTTAGATGGCTCCTCCCCTCCGTTCTCTAGTGCTAATACTTTCCCCAAAGAGGCCTCTTATCAGGGGCACTGATGTACCTGCTTCCTCCCGGCCTTCCGTCCCTGAAAAAGTGGGCGTGGTTTCTGAACGTCATACTCTAAACACACCCGACCAGGATGCGGTGCAGCGCAGGACTCGCTGGGTCCCCAGGGGCTGGCCCGGGGGCCTCGGCCGGAGAAGCCACCAGCAGCGTCTGCCCCCAGGCGCCAGCCTGGGCTTGCCTGACTTACTTGAGCTGAGCTTGGTGGAGCCCGGGGTAGCTGAAGCAGTGCTGTTGCTGCTGACTGAGGATCTGCAGCTGCAAGAACAGCTGCTGCTGCTGGAGCAGCCGGGCGTAGGCGGAATCCATGGGCGGAGGGGACTTCTCGGCCTTCTGGTCCGGGGGGATGTACTGGTGATATTTGAGCTTCTTCACCTTTGGCTTGGGTTCCTTGGGCTTTTTGTGGCGGTTCTTACTGTCGCTCAAGGACTTGGACTGCAAAGCGGATGGAGAAACGGCATGTGCTTTAGGTGATGGATGGGAATGGCTTGGCATCATGAATTATCTCTAGGAGGTTTCATGGGATGGATGTTCCTGAACCCCCGACACACAATACAGCAAAGGCAGGATGCACAAAGAGACCCTGGACGTTAAGGTACCTAACGGGCAAATCCACTGCAAGTGCATCGCAAAGGAAGGACACCCCTGAGGCAGGGTGAGCCTTAGAAGTGGCTCCAGGAGAATTTCCTTCCCGGAGGAGAGGGAGAGGTACACTTGTGTTTCATGAGGACACCTTCTCTTTTTTTTTTTTTTTTTTTTTTTTGTGGTACGCGGGCCTCTCACTGTCGTGGCCTCCCCCGCTGTGGAGCACAGGCTCCGGACACGCAGGCTCAGCGGCCATGGCTCACAGGCCCAGCCGCTCCGCGGCATGTGGGATCTTCCCGGACCGGGGCATGAACCCGTGTCCCCTGCATCGGCAGGCGGACTCTCAACCACTGCGCCACCAGGGAAGCCCGAGGACAACTTCTTAACCTAAAACCACCTGACGGCCTAACGAAGGAGATATTCTGCTCTTGGGGTGGATTCAGAAGAAAGCTCTTTCATCTGTATGCATGTAATCACCTTTAGTGAAGCCCTTAGCACGCTGACTTATTTATGACGTAAACTCAGATGAAGTTCAGCTTGCCTCTGAAAATCCAGAACGTGGACCTTTGTTACCTCACACGTAAGATCAATTCCCCTTCCCATCAAACACTGATATAAGATCAGGAAGTGACATCCTCTGAACTAAAGATTCTTTATTGACTACAGGAAGGGTTAGTCACCCACTGGGACCTCTCCAGAAGTTACCCATCATGGAGCACGATTTGGACCCTTGAAAAAAGTTAAGGACACAGGCTCGGAAGTGAAGACACATTTTTGAACATGGTACAATCATCCAACTACATGACATCTCAATTACCTCACTTGCAAGTTGGGAAAAACATTCTCTACTTTCGATCTCAGTACAATGGAAGGATGGTGAAACATACTGTTGAAATAATAACAGATTTCAAAGGACAGTGTGATTATATTTATAACCCACTCCTAAAATCCAAAAGCCTCCATAGATTGGAAAGCAATAGATCCATACTGGAATCGGTTAAAAAACATACATTTCCAAACCCTGACTTTATTACAGAAGATTGAAAGGAACATAGACATGGTGATGGTAGAGTCTTTTGAGGATCTGGGGACAAGTGGGAGGGAAGGTGTGGTACCAGCAGTGTCCAGAAGAGGGGGCTCCTGAATAGCTGGCGGGCATGTTGTGACTGGGCAGCTTCCCCGTTTTAACCACAAAAGTTTTCTCTGACTCAGCGCATCCCTCCACCGAAGCCTTTTTTTTGTGTTTTCTCAGGGAGGCTTCTTCTTGGAGACCAATGAACAATGAACTCAAGTATTCCCGTGGGCTAGGGGCTCTCCTCCCTGCTCATTCATCGGTTAGCGCTCCAGGTAATGAATCAGTCTTCTGCACTTGGGAGAGTTTCTGCAGGGCTCCTACAGTCAGCTCTGCCCTGCTTTGCTCCGGTGCAGCCTCCGCTCCCACTCCTAGAACTTGCTTGTCTGGAGGAGCTGCAGCCCTGGGTCTAGCAATTAAGTCAGGGGCTAAGGCATTTTCTCTATCTGTCGCCTTAACATAGGGACTCTGAACGTTTTAGAAGGTACGAAAATCGGACCATTTTCTCTGGATAGTGAGGGGCAAAGGCTGCTGAACCCATGGAACTCCGAATCCCTGGAACTGTACAGTTTCATATTTTTGACACCAGAGGATACTAAGGCTGTGGGTTTGCTTTTGTTTTCTTTCTAGAACTGCATGGCCGATAGAAGGGGAGCACAGTCATCTTTCTAAAGCAGACCTGGATCCCAAATCCAGTGGTTTAAGACTTGGGCATGAATGTATAAAGCAAGTTAGTGTAAGGCAAGAGGGAGTGGTGGGGCCTGCAGCTAGAGAGGGCACGACTTCCTAAAGGCCTTCTGCCTCGAATTCGCACACATACTGCGCAGGGCACGCAGCACGCCCCCCAAGCCACCTGCACTCAGTTTGTCCATCCCGCACGGCACACTGAAGTCCAAACTCCAGCCTGCAAAGGAGACCATCACCAAGCTGCCTAAACATACTCCTCTCCAATGGCTTACCCCTCCTGACTCTTCTCCTTGTCATTTTCTGCCATCTGGGACTCCCTCCTCTGCTTACTGTCTGACGTCGGCTCATCCTTCGAGGCTGGCTCAAACCCTGGCTCACCTGGGAAGCCTTTCCTAACCCACAGTGAGGTCTCTCCTCTGCATGTCTCACATGACACTCGAGGCTGCCCCGTAACGGTCACACTGCTGCAGACCCTGCTGAGGGGGGAGGGAGACGGACATCCAGCCCCAGGTCTGCTCCCGAGGCTACTGGCCCTGATGGGGGGCTGTGGCCACCTGGGGAAGGGGACTCTCCTTCTGTATTGCAGTAAAATACAAGGAACACAGAAATCCCCAGTCACCATTCAGTGGCATTTAGCGCATTTACAATGGGGTGCGACCATCACTGCTACCCAGCTACAGGACATGTTCATCACCTCGAAAAGTCACTCCATCCCCATTAAGCGGTCACTCCCCATCCCCCGCTTCCCTTGGAAACCACGAACGTGCTTACTGTCTCCACGGATGTGCCCATTCCGAAAACTGCATAAAAATGGAATCAGACACTGTGGTGCTTTGTGTCTGGCTTCTTTCACGCAGCATGTTTTCAAGGTTCATTCACGCCATAGCAAGAATCAGGGCTTCATTCCCTTTTCTGGCTGAATAATCTTCCATTGAATGGATATGCCCTATTTATCCATTCTTCACTTGATGGACATTTAGGTTAGTTCCAACTTTTGACTATTGGGAATAGAGCTGCAATGAATATTGCCGCATACATTTTTGTTGGAACACCTGTTTTCAGTTCTTTTGGGTGTGTATCTAGGAGTGGAATTTGCTGGGTTACGTGGTCATTCCGTGTTTAATTTACTGAGGAACCACCAAACTGCATTCCACGCAGACGCGCCATTTCACATCTCCATCAGCAGTGCACGAGGGTGCCGATTTCTCCACACCCTCAGCAACACTTATTATTTTCCATTTTTAAAATTTTAGCCATTCTAGTTAGTGTGAAGTGGTATTCTGTCGTGGTTTGGAGCTGCATTTCCCTGACAACGAATGACATGGAACCCCCTTCTCGTGTGCTTGTTGGGCAATTTGTTTATCTTTGGAGAAATGTCTATTCAAGTCCTTTGGGGCACATTTTTTTTACTTGCTCAAAGCCCCATATGGACTAGTGGTGGCTGTGATATTAGACTAGATTGTAGGCTCCTTGAGGGCAGGAATCATGGGGTTTTTTTTTTTTTTTGCGGTACGTGGGCCTCTCACTGTTGTGGCCTCTCCCGTTGCGGAGCACAGGCTTCGGACGCGCAGGCTCAGCGGCCATGGCTCACGGGCCCAGCCGCTCCGCAGCATGTGGGATCCTCCCGGACCGGGGCACGAACCCATATCCCCTGCATCGGCAGGCGGACTCTCAACCACTGCGCCACCAGGGAAGCCCAGGAATCATGTTTTATTCAACCTGATATGCACTACTTGGAGCCTGCAATGTGAGCACCGTTCTCTTATAGAGGATTTTACAGTTTTCAAAGAGCATTCTTGTGCATGCTCTCCATGGCCTTGTTTTCAGAGTATTCTTGTGCATGCTCTCAATGGCCTTATGTGAAGCTTACGCAGTTGATAGGGCAGAGATGTTTTCCCCTAGCTGGGTTGCTTCCTTCTTTGAGAAGCCCTCTAGTAGCCTCCTAGCTTAGAGATGATGAATATTCATCAGCTGAGAACCCACAGGCACTGACCAGTCAGAAGAGCTGTTGGCTTTCACGTGAGTCCTGCTGGACCAGCTGGTTATCAACCCTGCTCCTCGTTGAAACTGACTGTCCTTCCTCAGGGCAACTATTATACTCCCTTAGTACCAAGAGGCTGAAGGCTTTGCTCATTTGCATTAGGCAGAATTTAAATACTTTGGTAGAAATACCGATGCAATTTCTCCTGGCACACAACGTTAGAAATCCCTGAATCATCCCCTCCACCCTCCACTTGCAGGGAACAAAATTCATCCATGCCACTTATTTTCAACGCTGTTGAGCTGAGTGGACTGTAGGCTGGGTTTAAGCCACTGCAGTCTGGGGAGCTTTACTGGAAATCAGAAATACCCGCCCTCCATTTATAAGATGAAAACCACTCCTGTGTACATGCAGTGGAGGGGGCGGCGGGTGGGCACCGTTACTTTAGCATTGATTCTAACTCAATTTACAACCTTTTCAAAAAATGTTTCTTAAGAATCATCTCAGCATCAAGCGGTGGCTTTAGAGCTGAGAGAACATGCCCCCCAGTCAATCAGAAGTTATTTGGGATAAAACGAAGAAAGTCAAATGACTACCAGGCAGTTAATTGAGGAGAAAGTACCCTGTGAACTATTAGATATAATCCTGAGAAACTTAAACCAAAAGTATGTGATCGTGCTTGTAGTTATGTGTCTCTTGTGAGTGTAACCCTCTGCTTTGTCTTTATTTCCACAGGGAGACTGGCTTGAATGATATAGGGTTTGCTGTAGGCAAGCCCTTCAGGTTTGCTTCCCTTGCATAAAATGCAGCTGCCCTACACCTGTTTTACGCCACATACAAAGCCTGTGTGCACTGCAGTCAGTTGTGTCTATCTCTAGGCTGAGCCGATGAAGCCTTTTACGTCAGGAATAGGCTGGCTGAGCTGTGATCCCAAAGAAGGGCAAACATTGCCCAGCAGGGGTCTTCGTCTGCAGGGGAGACCCCTGCTGGGCAAGAGCATCTTGGTCCATATACACTGATGGCCCAGGTCTCAACTCCTGTCTTGCGATGCTCCCGGTGGATCGAACACGTCCGTGGGTCCGTGTGACGCTCCCCCTGTTGACAGACCTAACTCGGCACTCCCTGCCCCGAGCTGGCCCTGTGAGCTGAGTGCTCAGACGGGCGTGGAGGCCGGCCCACCTTACCTTGACAGCAGCGTGTACAGGGACGGGGTTGCCCAGGGGGCCGAGCCCCTGCTTCCCCGGGTCTGACTGGTTGCCGGGCTGGGGGGCCGAGTCATTCTTTTCATTTTCTGAGCCAGAAATAAGATCCTAAAAATCCAAAGTTTAGCATTATTAGGATGCGGGAGTAAAGACTGCGTGACGTGGAAATGTTGCGGGAGAGCCTCCCGCTCCCACCCCGAGGTCTGCTGTGTTAATCCTGGCTTCTTATCTCAGGAACATCAGATTCTGTCCTCCAGCGGGAGGAGTCGTGTGTATAATTTGTCATCCAGTTGAGGACACTTTTAAGAGAGAAAGCAGGCATGATTAATAATTATTCCAGCAGACAGGTATAGGACTGGCCTGTTCCAGGCAAACTGGGACATCTGGTCACCCTGGGTGAGGGTACCACCTACCTGCGGCTAGGTCTACCTGTTGGAATTGACAGTGGGATTGAAAAAGAGAGGAAGTGGGAGAAGTGGGTGTAGGAGCTTTGGGGGAAAGTAGGACAACAAAAAAGTTAGATGAAACGGGGGTTAGCAGATGGAGGGAGAGTGTGTAGGTATGTGTATGTGTGTGTACGCATCTGGGTCTCTGTATTTGTGTGCATGTGTGCCTCTCTGTGTGTCTGTGTGTATGCCTGTGTAATGTATGTGTGCATATATATATGTATCCCTTTGCACGTGTGTCTGTGTGTATACTTGTGTCTGTGTGTGTATGTCTATGTATATGAACATGTGTGTTTATGTAAGTGTGTGTGTGTATGTGTGTAGTATCAGGAAAACCTTTATGAAAGGCACGTTCCCGTATGCAGAGGACTCTGAAATGGACCAAGTGCCCTCTCTCTTTCCCCTACAATCCTAGGCCATGACTTTGAAAAAGGGGCAGGGGCTGCTCCACGATCTCCCCGAGCGGCTCAGCCCTTCCCTGGGCCCCAGCACCTATCAAAGGTCTGCAGCATCCCTTTCTCTCAGAGCCTGTGCCCTCATCTGTCACATGAGGCTGCCGGATGAACTGACATAAGATGATTTTTGCATTTTGCCTGGCATTGTTCAGCGTTTGTTCCCTTTTTGCCCCGCTCCGAAGGTTAAAAAGAAAAGAATGCGTCTTCTCCCCAAAGCATCTTTAAATCAGAAGCTGAGGAATTTACTGTCAGAGTAATAAGATACAAATGGTCTGATGCACTGTTTGATGTTATCAAAGAAGTTGGGCTGCAGAGACCAGCTGCGGGATGCAGGGGAAGGAAAAATGCTTTGATTATAAACTCTTGCACAATAAACGTACGGCTCTTTTGGCTCTGCTTTTTCTGTCTCCCGTCTCCCTCCTGTTCCACATTTCCTCCTGGGCAGCCTTGGCTTTGTTCTGATGCAGTGAAGAAGGGCCTGACAACGACCGGTAACAGCACAGTTTCAGGAAACAGGGTCGTGGTAAATAATTCCTGAAACTGTCCCTGATCCCTGCATGCTTTACAGTGTAAAAATGTTTTCAAATACACTATCTAATACGGTTTACAAAGTACAAACATCCAGCTATACAGTAAGTCCTGGGGGTGTAATGTACAGCATGGTGACCATAGTTAGCAATACTGTATTGTCTCTCTGAAAGTTGCTGAGAGTACATCTTACAAGACTCTCTCACAAGAAAGAAAATTTGTAACCATGTGTGGAGATGCATGTGAACTAGACTTACCCTGGTGATCATTTCACAATACATACAATGATATATTGTATCTATCGTACATATTGTGAAATACACAATACACCTATGGTATGTGTACACAATACACCTATCTATGGTATATGTACCATAGATACAATATCAAGCAATTATTTTGTACACCTGATATTGTATACATTGTATACATTGTGTATTTCGCGATATATACAATATCAATTATGTTGTACATCTGAAACTAATATAATGGTATCTGTCCTTTATACCTCAATTTAAAAAATTAGAAGTACACACAGATATAAAATATCCATATGTAATAAAAATGAGATATCTCTATATAATTAAAATATATAAAATAATATCTGTTACTAAAATATACATCATATATATAAAATATCTGATTTCAAGTCATCGAATACTTCCTGTGAGGCCAAGAGGAGTAAACGCTTCCTGAAGGGTAGGGGCTGAGGTCGGAGGGGTCTCTCCAGAGCCAGGATGTGGTGGAAGATTCACATCTCGTTGTCCCATGAGTGCAACCCCTCCCCCTCCTGTGTGGGCCTCACACTCATCTCCTCTGGGGGCTCTGGGAATACCACCCTGCCAGGCCAAGGAAAGGTCCCGGCAAGCCTGGGTGTGGCTCATAGAGGGGGAGCTCCAGGTGTTGGTGGGGGGCCCTGCATGCTCTTGGGGCCACACAGCTACTCAGCCTCACTTCCTTCTCCGCAACATCTAACAGAAAACGCTTGCAAGGTGCCTAGCACTGGCCCTGGTATACAGTGGGCACTTAATAATGGCAGTAGATGATGTCAGCCATCATTATACTGCTCCTTATAAACGTGCTTTTAACAGTATGTGCACTATCCATTTCTCACATCTCGACAGTCTGCAGATTTGTCCAGAAAAAGGGGAATGCTGTGTTTGGGCTGGGGCTGGAAGCGGTCCTTGCTCCAGGGGTTCGGCAGGTAGACGCCTGCTAAGGGTAGAACTGGCTCGGGGCTCCAGCTTTGTAGCCAATCAGCGCCTTCTGCTTCCCGCTCCCCAGGGTCCTACGGTGGTAACTCAGTGCCTGGAAAGACCGTGGGCTTTGAAACCAGTCCTGCTGAGGCCCTTTCTCTCCAGGAGACTGTTGGTTGGTCATCTCATCTTGGAGAGCCTCATTTCTACCCTGTCTCTAAAAGTGGAGATAAAAGAGATCTACTTGACAGAGTAGATACTGAAAACATAAGTCAAAAGGGCCTATTTCTGGGGATTCTCTTTCGGTGTTATCTGGAAGCTTTTGCCCTCACACACAGACCCCTGGACCGAACAGGGTGAGAAGAAGGATCAAGATGACGTGCCACAAAGAGACATCTCTGGGGTCTCTAAGCAAAACCACCTCAGCACCGCTGATTTCAAGACTGAAGAGGTTAAAAAAAAAAAAAAAAAAAAAAAAAGACTGAAGAGGTGACAGGCTGAGATGTGGCTTGTTTACCTGGGTTTTCCCCCGAGGACCCGCCGAAGGGGTCTCTGTAGCTTTCATGTCTGGGGGGGATCCTGCTGAGCCCTGGAGGTCTTCACCTCGGGTCTGATCCGGAGAAAGCCCATCGCTGCTGTCCTCCTCAAAGGCAAATGCATCCGCTGATTTGGAGAAACTCACCTGGTTACCTGCGGGAGTGAAAGCCAAGAAGAACTGGGTCAGTGGCAGTGCTTCCCTTTTAGGAGCAGTTACCTACCTCCTTAGATGTTTCCAGTTCAAGGTAGGAGTGGAGATGTATTTAAAATGACTTGCTTTCCCCTCTATTTACTCCATACAGGGGAACTTGTGTTTATAAAAGTGGCACGTTTGACAGGGACGAATGAGTGACATATCAAAGGTCTATCATCTTTATTAAACTTCATTTTCAGATTGATCCATTCCTGCACATTCTGTATGTGAGCCCCTATCTTTCTGAAGCTAAATCAGGCAAGATGAAGGAAAGAACAGGGGCCACCGGGTGCAGGAGAAGGTCCCGGTCTCCCTGGGGCTTTACGACGAGAGGTGAAACTGAAATGACAGGGGGCCATCTGCATCGTGTTCAAACATAAAGCGGGGCAACCGGCACAAAATGTTTCGCAAACTTTGCTATTAAGGAGAAGCCAGGGAGCTCCTAAGTTTAAATTCCTAAGTTTCAGAAGAGCTGTCACCAGAATGTCCCAAAGCCCCACTCAACGAACGCATATCTGTTTATAAAAGCCATAACCGTGTCTCAGAAACTGGAGTGCGATCTTTACTTATTTATTTTTATTATTTGGATTTTGTTGTTATTCCTCTCATCTTTGTCTCTATTTTGGAAATTCCCAGCGAACCACACGTGCTCAGATTCTTCCCCAGCAGCCTGCGTGGTCTTGGGAGGGAAACCCAGACATTGGCTTGGGGAGTGGGGTTACCAGACCAGGTGGGACTATCGTGACATCCTTTTATGTCCCTTATGTGTTTTCTGCTTTTATCATTTTGATCATTTATAGTACTGTGATTTTATTTATTTATTTATTTTTGGCTGCGTTGGGTCTTCGCTGCTGCACGCGGGCTTTCTCTAGTTGCAGCGAGCAGAAGCTACTCTTTGTCGCAGTGCGCAGGCTTCTCACTGCAGTGGCTTCTTTTGTTGCAGAGCACAGGCTCTAGGCACACGGGCTTCAGTAGTTGCGGCACGTGGGCTCAGTAGTTGTGGTTCGTGGGCTCCAGAGCGCAGGCTCAGTAGTTGTGGCGCACGGGTTTAGCTTCTCCGCGGCACGTGGGATCTTCCCGGACCAGGGCTCGAACCTGTGTCCCCTGCATTGGCAGGTGGATTCTTAACCACTGCGCCTCCAGAGAAGTCCCTCCCTTACGTTTTTTAATTGCCAAATCTCCTCCGGCTTATTATCCAAATGCACAGTACAAAATGTGCTGAGGCTACACAGCTCTTGTGACCCTCCCGCAGGCACAGGTCTTCGAAAGGAATTTATGTATTATCAGCAAGGTCTCCAGCCCGGTATTCTGCAGTTACACTGACAAGAACTTTTGACTCAGGCTTGGGGCAGATAAGAGAGAGGAGCTCTCACTGTGGAGATTGGAGAGGCAGCAAGGAGCTGGAAGTAATGGAATGAATGTGGTTTGGGGCTTGTCATCACCACCACTGCTGGCATCTGTCATGGACCCTCACTCAGACACGCAAGTGTCAAATCAGGAGAGAGGCCGGACAAGGACAGGGCAGGTGGGAACTCCAGTTACTGGCCCGCTGGGCAGCCTGCTAACCTGGAAAGGCCTGGGGACCAGCGTTGCTGCTCCTTGGTTTCAAGATTTCTTTATAAAAGTCATTATTACCTTTCTGTGATTATAGAAGTAATGTTTAGTTATAAAAATTCATACCATATGAAACGTACATAACAAGGTACATAACAATCCCACTTCCGTTAATGATTTAGTCCCTCTTCTAGACTTAATTCTGTCCATACAGCAAGACACGCACATATTGGAAAAAGCATTTCAAACAGACAGGACTGAGTGAAAGATACTGTACTGAAACTTGCTTTTTTCACCCTACAGTGTATCTTGGAGACCTTTACATGTGAACTCAGAGGTCTTCCTCAATATTTTGGTAACAGCTACACAATATTTCATTGTATGAGTGGGAACTTTTGTTTTCCAACTTTTATTTCCCAAGGGGCCCTTATCTTTAACTATAAAAATTTTGACATAATAGAAAAGTACAGAGAATAATATAAAACATGTGAATCACCTGAAATAAATATATGCCAGTACTTTCCTATATTTCCATCAGAAACCTATTCATTTTCTAACAGAAAGGGTTTTCGTCGGGTATTTGACAAATGTCAACTTTTTCTTTGCAATCAGGAGTCACTCGTCTCTCCCATCTGGTCTCTCCCTCCTCCCTCCCTCTCTATTTTAAGGTCCAGAGCTAGCTCACAGCCTTCCCTTCTTTTCTTACAGCAACCCGCCCCCCCCCCCCCCGCCCCCGCCCCCGCCCCGGGGCTCTGCAAAGAAGCCTCCCTCTGTCATTTTCACACAGTGTGAAGGAATTTGTATACATTTCCCCTTTCTCCAGGGGATCACGTGCCTGCGATCTTCGCAGGAAGGTCCTTCCAGGAGCCTCCATGAATACCTTCCATTGTAAACTCAACCTGTTAATTTCTCTACTTTGGAAACCACGTTTTCATTGAAATTTCAAGTCCCACTTCTAGCTGTGGAATTAAAGGCTTTGTCCCTGTTGAAAAGATGACATGTATTATTCAGGGCCAGGTGGGCATGGGATTTGGTGGGGGGGGGAGTGGGTGTTAAGCCCTCCCCACCTCAGAAGCCACAGCATTTCATTGGGATTTACGTGGCGTAGACCGTGAGGCAAGACCAACTCAGAGAGCCCTGCGTGTGTGACCGTACCAGCCCCTGGGGGCAGCCAGCCTGCCCTGCCCAACAGGACCCGCCGTGGGGAGAGCTGTAGCATCTTACACTCCCTCCCCACTTCCTTCAGTCTGAATGGTACGGATCTTCTCTGTGTGATCTGACACTTCATGTGACAAAGAAGACGCCCCCGCCCCCTGCCACCTCCACCCGCATCAAGGATCATGTCCCAAACGCGTGCACATGAGAGGGAATTAACCAAACTGCAAAGTTGTCCAAGCATTCTAACACGCATGGAAATGTTACAAGAAGGGTGGGGATGGGAGAAAGAGAGAAAATTTCTCTCTTAATCCCCCAACTATCCCCCTTCAATAGTTTCAAGAGGAAAGATAACAAATGAGAAAAACAGTGGTTTGCATCAGCAGTTCACTTAGCAGTGGCAGGAGTAACAGAAACAATCAACTTGTGTTAGGCCTTAGAACGGTCCAGGAAGTCAGAGGAAGGACCACATTCTCTCATCTCTGTTTTGCAGACGAGGACATCGCAAGATCCAGGTCTCCCAGTTCTTTAGCGACCGAGCTAAGACACAGGCCCAGCCTTTGTATGCTCAGAGCCTCCAGCAGAGGGGGAGGCAAAATCAATATCCCTCCCGGGAGGTCAACAGATATATGTTGTTTAGGGAACATCGCAAGACCCACTGGGTTGGTGGCAGTGGGGAGGGGTAGCGTAGAAATCGGCCAACGTCCATTTCGTTTTCGGCACACGCGTACTAAGGACAGCTCCATCCTCCACAACATCTTTTACTCGAGTTTTTGAGATCTGAAGGACTGAACGTGACATCTTGACTGTGAGAAGAAAGAAGGCAGGCGATCACTTCGATCTCATTGCCACTGCCTCAGAAAAGGGATTGGGAGGATTGTGAAGCCCTGTTGTTGTGGCCATTAAGTCAGCGTGTCCTTTTCACTTCGGCACCTGCCTGGAATGATGTGGAAACGTCCTAGAAGTGGAGTGTTTGGAATAAAGGAGTTGGTAACCAGTCCCATTTTCCCCAGAATTGGATGGAACATTCCTCAACTATTTTGTTCACTTCCAGCCTTCCCACTCAGAGAGGAGTAGAGAGAAGCAGAAGTATAATCAGATACAGTAGGGTGAAGATACGGAAACCACGAGAAGGATGCTATCCGTCTATCTGCACGGGACATAACCGGAGAACCTGTCAAGGACTAGACTGCCTGGTGAGTGCTGTTGGTGGCTAGCAGACAAAGGGGATGGAGATGTGGGTCGTCCAGGCAGACTCACTCCCAGGCGAGGTGGGATGGAGCTGAGCCTGAAATGACGGTGGACAGGATGACTGAAAAGGGGAGGGCACCTGGCAAGAGTTGCGGGGCGCAGAAGGGAAGTCACAGGGTGGTGATGAGCAGAGTTGGTGTGGGAAGGATGAAGAAGTAACTCTCCCAGCCACCGGACTGGATTACTTTAAGATCCAGTTCCTGGAGACACACAGCTTTGAGGAGTCTACTTTACAAGTGACATCCATCATTTAAAGAGGTTCCTCTGCTTAAGTCAAGGAAGAAGCCATGAGTACGTGCAACTGTATACACAGAGAAGCCGTGAGTACATGCAACTGTATACACGAAGCCGTGAGTACATGCAACTGTATACACGAAGAAGCCGTGAGTACATGCAACTGTATACACGAAGAAGCCGTGAGTACATGCAACCCCGTACATGAAGAAGCCATGAGTACATGCAACCCCATACATGAAGAAGCCATGAATACATGCAACCCCGTACAGGGAAGTTGTTCACACCTAATGAACAAACACAGGGTGAAGACCAAGGCCCCCGAAATGACTCCCATCTAGTTTCTAAAAAGCATGTTGTACCAGGTCAGAATAAGCCGACAGACACACTGAGGACCCCTCAGAGGCTGTCCACACTCAGAGAGCTGACCACGGGGGGCCCTGCCAGTCCCCCAGCACCACAAAGGGCTTGGATCTCTGACTGCGAGGCCAGAAGGTGAGCGACAGGGCAGATAGATGAGCCCACACTAGGCTCAGCCCCTGCTGATGAGAACGGTGACAGCAAGAGGCCCCCGAGAGCGTGGCAGTGGCTGCCTTTGGAGCTGAGGTACGTGGTGTTCAGTGTGGTCACTGTGGGCCAGACAGGTCGGTTTGTTTCTTGTTCTACCACTTCGGTGGTGGAGTGACTGTTGATGAATTACTCAACTTCTTAGAGCCTCAATTTCCCCATCTATCAAATGGGCAACATCATCATAGTCACCTCTCGG